GCGTGGTCGACAGTTGTGCATCTCCCGCGACTGCACGACAGTGAGACGGCGGCAGCGCTGTCACACACGATCCGCGATCTGCGGCAAGGGTGGCAGAGTTATCTGCTGAAAAATCCTCCAGACCTTACTGGAATAATGCCTCCGACAGCAACAGAGCAATGCCGAGCGTAGAGCGAGGTACAAACGTTCGAAGCCAGGCGTTGCAGGGCGACCTCGATTATCTTTGCGTAGCTGAAGAGATAGGTCCAGAAATGGAGGGAGGAGGCGGGGAGGTGGGAAGACATACACAAAAATATTGTGAGAAGAACGCCGGAATTGTGTCCCGATTCGGCTTTTTTTTTTCCTTACTTCTCCACATGTTTCAGCCTTTATTTTTCTGCACCCATCCAGCGATGTCCACTCTCTCTGCGGCACGCCAGCGGGCAATGCACTACACCACCCGCAGTCCTGCTTTTACCAGGCTGCAGCCGCGGCACATCGAGTATTTCAGCAGTGTTCTCAATCAAACATGCTCCCAAAACCAAAAAATGGGCAGGATATTAACGCATCCCGATAAAATTGCGCCGTTTAACAAGGATTGGATGGGTCAAGTGGAGGGAGAGTGCCCAGCAGTGCTTTTTCCAACATCGACACGGCACGTGGCGGCCATTCTGCATTACTGCCAAGAGGAGAAGATTGCAGTGGTGCCTCAGTGCGGAAACACTGGGTTGGTATACGGCTCCTCCGCACTTCATGATGAGATTATTCTCAGTCTACAGGAAATGAACACCACGCCTATCGTTTCGCCAGAAACGATGTCCGCTGAAGCGGATGCGGGTGTCGTTTTGCAGCACCTGCAAGAGGCAGCGAAGGAGCATAGCCTTCTTGTGCCGCTCAACATGGGCTCCAAAGGAAGCGCACAGATTGGTGGCACCGTGAGCACCAATGCTGGCGGTATCCACTTTGCTCGCTACGGGTCGATGCACGCAAATGTGCTTGGTCTTGAGGTGGTCACGGCCAAAGGTGAGGTGCTAGACATGATGTCCACCCTCCGCAAAGATAACGCGGGGTATGACATGAAGCACCTCTTCATTGGAAGTGAAGGTACACTCGGCGTTGTGACGCGTGCCAGCCTAAAGCTCTACCCATTTCCGCGTTCAGCCCAGTTGGCGTTGTTTCACCTTGCAACGTTTGACGCAGTGCTGGAGCTGTACCGCCTGGCGCAAGAACATCTGGCTGAGTGCCTCTCCGCCTTTGAGGTGATGGACGGCGAGTCTCTCACCACCACACCACAGGAAGATCTGCCCTTCACCAAGACAAACAAAAACGACGCTTTCAGCAGTGGCCGGGACTACAGCAGCGCCTACTTTTGCGTTCTGGTGGAGACAAACGGCAGCAACGTTGAGCATGACATTGAGAAGCTTGCTCAGTTCATGGAAGCTGTAGAGGGCAACCTGCTTTTTGTGTCGAAAAACAGCAAAGGTGAGTCATTTGAGCCCATTCTCTCGCAGTCACTGGCACAAACAGAAGAACTATGGAAGGTGCGCGAGAGCACACCTGTACGACTTGCCAGTGCCGGAACTACGTNCAAGTTTGACGTCAGCTTCCCCCTCGATAAGTTCTACACTATAGTGGAGTACTTCCGCGAGCTGCTATACAAGGACGGGAAGTTTAACCCCGAGGAGGTGCTGGTTGTGGGCTATGGTCACTTTGGGGATGGAAATATCCACCTCAACATAGTGGATCGCACGCGAAGACAGAGTGATGCGCTGGACGCTATGCTGTTCCCGGCTGTGTACGAGTTCTGTGCAGCACACTCCGGTTCTATATCCGCAGAACACGGGGTTGGGGTGCAGAAGAAGGCCTATCTCGGACTGTCCCGAAGGCCGGAAGTCATCACCTTGATGCGAGGCGTAAAGAATATGATGGACCCAAACGGTATCCTCAATCCTTACAAGGTGCTCGAATAAGGATAGGGTTACCACTCTTCTTTTTTTCCCTCCTATCAGATTCGGTTCCTGTGTTTTGGAGGCCTGGATATCAGCATACATGGGTTATCGAGGCCGAGCCATATGTGTCTCTTTTCCTTCATTGGGGTCGTCTTTGGCGTATCTGTGAAGGGTATTCACAGGGCGGGCGCAGAAATAATATTTTTTTGTTGTTTTTCCGTTCTTTGCCTCTAACCGGCGTGTTTTTCTGTATAGGCTGCGAAAGAAGGGACAAAAGAAGGTGGTGGGGAAGGAGGTGGACGCTCCCTGCAACGTTGAGGATTAGCCTATACGAGCGTAGAAGGCATTCAGTGTGGCGCAACCATGCAGCGTCTGCGCTGTACCTCGGAAAGGTTTTTTCAGTGCCGTCACCACGCGTGCACTCGGGTCATGCTTTCCGCAAGGGAAGGAGGGAGTCTATCTGACAGCGTGCCGTCACTTTCGTCTTCTTATGAGGCTCTCACTGTTTCTTCTACGTTGCCAGTTCGACACGGCGGAAGTGGTGGTAATAGCAGCAGCATCAGTGGCAGAAGGAACCGCACTGATGACGACAACGCCGCTTCGTCTTCACAAGGTCAGCGGCCAGGGCGTCCTGAGCACCGCACTGGTAGTGGACCTTCAGCAAAGTACAAAACGAGCCGCAGGCCACCTCCAGAGATCAAAGTAAGGAAGCGTGTTCCTTGGGGGATGCAGCAGCTGCGTGACTCATGGAGTACCGATGCTATGACAAAGGGTGATAGAGAAAACATGAGTGAGCGAATTCACCGAGAATACCGCTACCACCCAGAGGAGTTTCGTCGTCACCACATCAAGTTCGCAGCATTCTTGACAATCCCTGCTATCATGTTTGGTACCTCTTCCGGTTATTACTACTACACGGGTAGGCCTATATGGGAAGGTGACCCGCAGTACATACTGAACATGATTAGGCAGATGGACACATCGCCACGCAGTCGGTTGCATGCATACAAACTCGAGGGAACAGAGGAGCTCCCAGCGCACGTGAAGGCGTACCGAGAGAAGAACTGGAAGAAGCGCCTCGAGTTGGAGGGGTGTGACCCTGGCAATGAGAAAATAAAAGAGGAGGAAGGGGAGGAGGCACATGTGAGTGCGGTTTGACAAAATGGGATTGTCGTTGTCCTTCTTTGGGCAACTTCCCACGTGTGATTGTGATGTTGGCTGTCTATTCGTAAACATGTGTTGTTTTTTCCTTATTCTGGAAGGGATTTGTGACATGCATCTTTGGTCTCCACTGCTCATGTAAACAGAACTCTTCCAGGAAGAAAACTCTCCCCCCCCCCCCCCC